AGAGCGAATGTTGTCTGCTCTGCTTCTGCTATCTCTCCACCTTCAAGGCTAGAGTTTGGACATCCAACAGCATCCAGTACGGTTGTAGTTGCACCACGTTACTAATGGCGGGCTTCAGACCCCGAAAGTATCTGGCTACCTTGTGCTCTTATGGCTCTATCAGATCGCAATTCAGCTGTAAGTGGTCGAACTAGGCTGTGAACTCCTCCAATGAAAGATCTTGTTGTTGCAAGTTGTGGAGTTTTAGAAACATGACATGGAAAGTGAGGTGGGAGGTACTTCTTCTACATTATTTTCTTCATCCTCTCTAACTTAGTTATCTTCTCTCTATAAATTTTTCTACCATAAAGAGGGATTCTTCTTTAGTTTAATGGCAGCAAGCTTGAACCATTTGTCCTCTGGCATATCCATGTACTCGAAGGCCTGTTCAACCAATTGCAGTCAATCAATAAACTCATCAAGATCTATACCTGCTTCAAATTCTGAAAGATTCATCTCTATGTCAAAATCCCGTTGGCCTCCGAATACGGCCTCTTCTCTTGGCCTTCTCTAATATTGCATTCCAAAGTAGTGTGGTCTGTATTCCTCATCGTTGATGTCTTCTAATGAAGTTCGGGTTCAAATAATCATCCATTTGACTCTCTCAATCCCGATCAAGGGTAATTTTACCCATGGGTTTCATCATCTATCCCTGCTAATCTCCATTGTAGACGATAGATCTCCAATTGTATCTTATCTCTGGTAGGATATGGTAGGTATTTTCTTAAGGGCATGGTTGACAGTTTGTGACCTACGAAAGAAAATGTCAAAGAGAAAAAGAAAGAACAAAAAAGAAGAAAGGAAAGAAAAGGAGAGGGAAGGAGAAGAAAGAAAAGGAAGAGAGAAAAAAATTTAGCGGACTCAAAAGAAGCCTAGGATAGGACTAGGATTACGCTAGCTCTAATACCAAATGGTGTCAGAGTTAACTCAACCTAAGATGACAGAAATGAATTTTATTACTCACACAATGGCTCAGATACAATCAAGACTCTAATATTAATAAAAACAAGACTAGCAATAGCGAAGGAAGGTTGGGGACGTCAACAATGAGGCTGGTGTTGGTCGGCGATTGGATGGCGGGACAGCAAGTGGCGGTGGCGCTGGAGAGAGCAGCAGGTGTGTGTGGCTGCTGAAGGATGTTTTAGGCGACCGGTGGCTGGTAGAAAGGGACCGGTTGACTGCTAGAAGGGTGTCCGACGGGCCGTTGGGAAGTACTAGAAAGGGCAAGACACGATTCGAAGGAAGCATGCGCACTTCTGGAATCACAAACAAAGAGTTGCGGCCACCTGGAGTCACAGGCATGCGAGCCTGTGGCCTTCTAGAGTCACAGACAAGGAGTTGTAGTAACCTGGAGTAGGGTGAAAGGAGTCTGCAGCCATTTGGAGTCGCAAACAGGGACCTATGGCAACTGGGAGTCACGAGAAGGGAGCGTGTGGCCTTTCTGGAGTCACAGACAGGGAGCTGTGGCAACCTGGAGATGTGGTAAGGGAGTTATGGCGGTATGGAGTCGCTGGAGGGAACCGGTGGCATCTTCTCGTCGTAGGATACAACCCCAGGGGAAAACCCCGGCGGCGGACTTAGAATTCAAAAACAAATCAAAAAATATTTGACCTAAGCAAACACCACACCTATATATAATAGGGATTAGTAACTAGAATAGGTAATGACTAAAATAAAAAAGAAATAGTAAGGAAGGAATAGAAAAGGCATGGAGTAGAATAGAAGAGTAATAGAAAAAAAGGGGGGATACGAGGAAAAAGAAAAATGGAGAGTTGGGGCGGTAAATCCCACCCCTTCCTGTGGGTTGGTCGGTCCAACAGAGCCAGACCAAACCTGTGGGGTTGGTTCAACCGGCCCCCATTCAAAGCTAGTTTAGTGTAGTGAAGCACCATTATTGTACTCACTTTGGTTCTGTTCGGCGCAGCTGCAGCTTCTCAGCTTTTCAGCTGCAACTGATGCGGGGAAGCTACTGCGGGGAAGCCGGTTGTCTGTTAGTTGCAGCTGTGTGAGAACAGCTGTGGAGTAGCTATTTCTAGAAAAATGACAATTTTGCCTCTGTTTAGTAAAGTTGTTTAAAACCGAACTATGACAGCGATATATTCGATAATTCAGAAGCATAAATTGGAAAAAAGATCATTCAACCAAAGTTTTTATTAAAAAAAATATTAAGAAAAATCATGATTTAGGTAAACTAATGAGATCAATAATCTACCATCAACGGATGGCAGGGAACCTATAGTGCAGGGGTTCTTGGTTCCCAGGACACCAAAGCTGGACATGTAGAAAAGCATATAAGAAAGGCCATCCCGAAGAATCAGTAGGTCATATGACTCATCATGAGCCTCTGGACATGTAGAAAAGCATATAAGAAAGGCCATCCAGAAGAATCAGTAGGTCATATGACTCATCATGAGCCTATAGAAATAGAATTTGCAATCACCAAAAAAAAAGATTTGAACCAAATATTAAGTAATTGAAAACAATCAAGCGTAGAATTTAGTAGATACGTAAATACATAAGACTTTTGTGGTATGTATGTACATCACCCTTAAAAATATTAGGGCTTCGAGTAAACATGAATAATACATTCACATGCCATCAAAAGAAGGCAGAAGAACCATATAGCAGGGGATCACGGTTGCCAAATGCTCTTAAGACCAAACTTGTATATGTAGAAAAGCATGGCAAAAGAGAGGCCATCCAGGAGAACCCCTACGGTCATATGATTCATCATAGCGTTCTCAAAAAATCAATACAAGAATAAGGTAGTCAATGAACTGAAAAGGAGGCACTAGCACTAAAATACTTATTGATACAAAATTGAAGCAATGAAAAGTAAAAGAAAATAGAATAACAAACAAATTTAGGCATTATGGATGGACAATACTTGAAAATATATCAGAAACGTATTCATCCATATATATTTCTCATAGATTCTAAATTGCAGGAGATAAATATAGCTAACAGTTCTCGGTAGCACACAAGCTTTAGAAAAATTCTAATATCGGAGATGTATCAAATTTTAAATCTCCTAGCATATCACATCAAAATGTGGAAAGCATTTGACATTTAACTGATGTTTTTCTCACCAAAAATATCAAAATAACTTCTTCTAACATCTTCCAAAGTCTGCCAAGAATTACTGCCAAGAATTAGATGGTGATTAGATGGTGAATCAAAGAAACCCAATGCAATCTACATTCGAACTAAATCATCTTTATCAAACCGATGATCTCGTGACAATACAGTACAAAATGCGAAAGAATTTTGTAGATGTTATGAAACAAATGTATAACTCAATCATAGAATGTACATAATCTTATTCATATTTTGGCTCGGTACTGGTTTACACATAGAATGTCTACTTTTAAAATTGTCAGCCAATAGTTTCCATAAAACAAATCTACAATTCATACCACGACCGATAACTTTGTGCTGCAAATGGATATCCTAAAAGCCTTTTAGCTTCTCTAGCAATGCATCTTAATGTACTATGATGACAAATGTTCTTTTTATTAGTAAATGCATGAGTGTTAAGAAGCTTCAAACAGATATTCAGAACCAAGTCATATAATAATCAATGTTTCCTTCTTCTTTTCAGTCAAATTTGCAATTATCGATGCAATTCAATTTATCTAAGTAACTATTAAAATCTTACCTCCCAAACTTACATAAGCAAGGGGAGCAGGCACATGCTCTGATTTGCTTTCATGCTCCTCCCAAATATTATCTAGAACTAGCATATACTTCTTAGATAACACGCAAAAGATAAGAATGAGATGAAAATTAGCACGTCTCCAAGTGGAGCATCTCTCTCAAGATATTTCAACATATTAGCGACGACTTTTTCCGCAACAAATTTATGGCAAACAGAGTTTTTAAGCTCAAAATCCTTATTCAAATTTTGATATGCATATTGTAAGTAAGTTGTCTTTCCCATGCCACCATCCCCCAACATGGATAGAAGAGGAATATTTTTGTAATAAGTAGTATGAATTTGGTGTTCATTTTGATGGCTTCTTAAACCATTGCATAATATATATCCATATGTTGACTGCGTGCATCCAATCTCTTATATGCGCTTGGCCGAAAGCAGAGACCTCTTGCAGCCTTTCCAGTTTCTTCTCCAAGCTCGGCTGCCATTTGAGTGATCAAAAAAGAGAAAAACAAACAAAGATGAGGAGTCGCAGGAATTGGTAAAATATTGGTGTAAACGCGGTAAGATAATAGATAGCAGAAAACAAAAAAAATCGTCTGCTTTCCTTTCTATCGAACAGCTGTGGAGAGGAGGCAACTGAAGATTCTACTTTCCTTTCTATCGAACAGCTGCGGAGAGGAGGCAACTGAAGAATAACAGTTCTCAGAGTATAATTGATTGAGGATCATTTGCTCGCTCTTCAGTGGCATGATGGCTACCGCGAACTCGTCGAACTCACCTTTATCCTTTTCCTCCCCTACCCTGACATCCTCTATTCTCGATCCCCCTGCGACGGTTAGGGCAAAGGAAGCTCGTACTCAGCGGGGCAGGTAAAGAAGGTGGGAGAAATAACGAAGGCGTGATCGAACGGAGGGGTACGGGAGTAAAATATCAGAGTGGTAACGCGGGCAGCAAGCTCTCACCCGCAGCCACCGTGAGGAAAACGCCACGCCAAATGACCTTAAACTGCGGCCTCCCGCTGCACCGCGCAGAAATAGTCGCGCCAAACGGGCCCTTTATCACTCATTAGCATTACAAACCTCATACATCTTGATTAGGAAAGAGAGTTCACTACTATGATGTGATCAAATTTAGGCTAGTTTAGTGCAAGCCGTATGATTGATTTTTCAGAAATGTAGAGGCAACAATGATTAGGTAGGAAAAATCACTAGAAACGTGTATGCTAAATCAACATAATAAAAATCAACAGATTGGTACTTTTTAAACCAAAGATAACAGATGACAGAAATGCATGTGATAGTACCTGTAAACCAGCAAAAATAAGATGGACGTGTGAATCAATAAATCCTGGTAGTACAACCTTCCCTTCAAGATTCAGCTCATGCGTCCTATGACCTATCAATCCCTGCACATGCAAGAGTTTAAAACAAACAATTTCGCACACTAAGTTCGTTCAATGTTCCAACAAGGTAAGACTGAGCCAAAATTACTATGGAAAGAAGACGAATATCGTAGATAACTGCAAGATTATTCATACCCGAACAGAAGCATCACTTCCGATTCTAATGATACGCCCGTTCCGCACTGCCAGTGCTTCCGCAAAGGGAATCGATGAGTTGCTCGTGTAGATTGTAGCGTTCCTTACCACCAAATCAGCAGCAGAATCCATACACCAAATCAGATGCCTCCCTACGTTTCCATGGACGATCCATAGATGGTTTCAGTAATTGCGAAAAAAGGTGGCAAGTACTAAGGTTTCAAGTTAGGTTCTCGCTTACGCCTTGGATGGAGGAGCAGGAAAACGAAGATAGCCAGGATAGCCGCCGCGGCAGCGGAGATGAACCTCACTAGTCCTCTTCCCGTCACCATTGATAGTCACTGGTTCTGCTGCGCAGAGAAGAGAGGCAATGAGACGGAAACGAGAGAGTAGTTATCTTAAGCACGGTGGCAGAGCTTCCATTTCACAATTTCCGTTCCCCGCGGCTTGGACCGCTTTTTTTTTTTTTTAATGAGTGCCGATAACTGTTAAGCTATTGCTGAAAATCTATTATTCACGAACTCTTTTTGAAAATTTATTATTCAAAAATTGGTAATTCAAAAATTGGTAATTCAAAAATAGTTGGTCTGTTTGAAAAATATAGTTCTGTAGACGTTGTTTGTTGACATAATGACTGTAATGCTCCAGTAAAGAAATATAGTTTGATTTAAACTATTTGGAAAATACAATTTTAACAAGGCTTCTTGCGAAATAAAGCATCTCATGATTTATCAAGTTATTTTCACTCACAACAACATAATAAAGCAAATAAATATGGACATTAACTAAATCCTAAAAAGTCAACAAATTATGTCTTCAAACAGCAATGCAATCACAAGAAATTGTGATAGACCAAATTTTCCAAACAAAAAGTTTGCTTACAAAATAAAAACTTAATATGGTATTGTTTGTTCTCCTGAATACATGTACATAATTAAAACATATACAATGCTAAGACCAATAAAAATAGTGCTACAATCACAAAATCAAAAAGAAGTCCTCACAAGGAACTCAAGTCACTGACAACATTTTTCACCGTATCATCAACTTCATATATCGACCAATAAAAATAGTGCTACAATCACAAAATCGAAAAGAAGTCCTCACAAGGAACTCAAGTCACTAACAACATTTTTCACCGTATCATCAACTTCATATATCATTTAATTCATATTAAATAATGAAATTACGTCAAGAAAACTTGTTCAACCACAAATAAGTAATGTCATAAGTTAACCTTACAACAAAAATAACAAGTGCAATTCACTTAAAACACAAATAAACATGAGTAATCAAACATTGTGGTTTTCATAGAATGTTTGAAATTTTCATAGAAAAAGAATAAATAATGACTAGGGTTTCACGAACGTGAAAATATTGCTTTTGACAGAATCATCGATTAGCTTCAATGAGTATAGATATAAGATAATATCTTCATAAACTTTGAGTATCTATTCTAATATTTTTATTACATTAGCAATTGATGAAGATTATTGTGTAGTTGTAGCCTTAGAAGATAAGTTTGTGCATGGTGTAACTAGCTCTGATATTTGGCTTCTTAGATACGCAAGACCAATTTTTTTGTTGCGACCTATCCTTGCTTTTAAATAAGGTGGTGTCCTTGCATGGCTAGATTTGCTAATCATTTTTGTCATGCAGTGACCTTTGAATAGGATCGGTTGAGCTCTCTCGATCAACATCTTAAGAGCTCTTAGGAGACCATAAATGTTCACTAGTCGCAATAACCCCACCGAACATAACATTGAGCTTCACTTGAAGATTTGAGTGAATTCCACCAAACCTACATTTCTTAGTATTTGGTATAACCTATCATTCATGTAATCAAAAGAAGTTATGTCAAACATTTGTACGTGCAAAGAAATTATAAATATGTATGTCATAAAATAGATCTCACCTCTAATTTCTCATTCCATCATTTTGATGATGCATCTATTGTGTTTTTAATTTGATCCCAACCATGTCTAGTAGATCCTCTTTTGAGCTTTCTCCAAAGCTTCCAATCATTTTTTAGTTAATCCCATTTATTCTTTGATTGAGTCTAGGTCTACACCCTTCCAGCTCTCTCTTAAAGTTTTGTTGTGATATTTTTCCAACTTTCTTTATTGAAATGTGTTGTTGGTCTATTTCCTAATTCAATTTATTTTAAAAAAAATATTGCAAAAAATTCATTGTTGCTTCTTTCTCTCATATAGTAGATAATGTGTTATCTCTTGTGTTGTCCATTTACTAATTTATCTAATACAATGATATCTGATTTCAAATGTTAAATGAATCTAGTCAAGCAAATCAAAGTTCATATATCCAATTTTTATAATATATCATGAAAGAATATCATATACAAAATTGAAGGGGCATTTACAACTATGCTAATTAAACAACTTAAAGGAGAGCATGTAAATGTTAAGAAACATGCACATAGATAACAAAATTCCACATAGAAAATAAAAATTTTGATGAAGAAAAAAACTTATGACATGGATGTGAACTTCGTGCAGTGAAATGCAAAGTTAATTAAAATAGTAGCAAGATTTACATACATGCCTCACGAATGTTGTGTATTTACATATTCATCACCTAAAATTTAATGTTTATAAAGAAAATTGGCAAACTTGCTATCAAAATTTCATTTTTATGTGGTAACAATTGCTCTCATATCATAAATAGTCAATGATTCAAAAAATAAACAATAAATATAACAAAAGAGAAAGATAAAAATGAAAAATTTTAATACCACTAGTAACTTTTTAAAAGTGAAGTCCACTTTTTTATGTATAGCTTCGTGTCACCAAAGACAAGAATCATTAGGGATTCAAGCAAGGTATTTTTTTCGTTAATTATTTTAAGGAGTCGCTCTCTCTTTTTACATTCTAAAAAATGTAAACTACTCTTCCACAAGGAGCTAGATGCGCCACTACCAACAAAAAATGTAAACTTTAAGTGCAATCCTTAGAAAGTAACCATTAATTATATGGAAGCAACTTTGCTTTGAACCACAATCACAAACAAAGATGCTTAGCATAGTTTTTATTCTCTCTTGGCGGATAATGGCCATCAATTCAATCACAATTTCTTTAAAAGATTAGCTCTGTGCTTAAGAGCTACAAAAGGATCACAATGGCAAATAAAAGTTTAACTTAAAAATCTAATTATGCTTTGACTTAGCTCTCTCAAGTAAATAAAAAGATAAATTATACTGGAAAAAGAGTTTGACATCAATTGTAAACATCTACTGACTTTGGACCAAGTCAAATGAGATCTATGTAGAATAACATATCATCCTCCTTCAATAAATTCAAGAATAACATTGGAAAAATGCAACTATTGATGTTAATTTCCACATAGTTGTCTTGAATGGCTTAAATATAGTAACTAATGTTATTTTACTTAATAATGAAAAGAATTTCTACATGTATTTCCTTTTGTATTACTTTTCATGGTGTAATTTCCTATAATATGCTTTATTGTACATCATTTTTAATTTCCACATCCTTCTTAGGAGCATAGTCAAAAATATAACGTAACATACCCTTGATCAATATTACATCATCAATACAACAATTTGTGATCTAATTTACATTATTGTCTGAAGTGGAAATATGTTTATTCACTCATATCAACACAATGTTTAGCGATCTAAACATCACAATTATCTAAAGCGGTGGGAAACACTACGCATGAGTGTACAATGACATCCTTTTTTGTACTATAAGGGGCAAACTCCTCTTAGTATGCAAATACAAGCCTTTCTATTTACACTACTTCATTCTTTTATATCATACCTTCTTTTTTTTATAAAACCTTTTATTAAGTTTATAGATCATGTAAGGAAGTGATATATGCACTTATATTGGAATCTACTTATCATGTAATCATAAAATCTCTTCTTAGGAAAACTAATATAATTGTTTATGCATAATTGTTAATACACATGTTTTATACATGACAATAAGAAGAGTTAGTTCTGATCTAAACCTCAGTGATATATAACATAGAGTCAGAAAAATTCAAATAAAAAATACATATAGAAATAAGAAATCCTACTGTAATTTAAAAGCATGATTACTCACATTAATCTTTCACCTTTTCACTCTTATTAATCTTCTAAGTTAATAACTTGAACATACTAAAATTTAGAAATGTGGCTAATTCTTCTTTTTCGTATCCGAATATTCTCCCACTTCAAATTTTTTGTGTTATTATGCAATAAAACTTATATTAATATTTATTTCGTTAATTATTTGACTATAAATAACTTTCAATTAAACACTTGCTTTTAATGATGTCACGAATTCTTCTTCTCCATTCAATTTGATTGTTCCTCAATCTAAAATTTAATATATGTATATGTTGGATCCTAGATTGTCTTTAAAAAATACACACCTCAAGAGTTGAAGCCAAGAGAGAGAGAGAGAGAGAGAATAGAGTAGTTAGAGAATTTTGGGTAAAGAAATTGCGAAGAAGTTCCTTTATTCATTTTCTGACCCCCAATTTATGAGGACATATTTGTACATTTACAAAAATGAGAGAAAGGTTTTGAAAACCTCTCTTAATGCAATTAATGTACTAATTTAATATCAAATACATGTTGCAATTTAAGTGCAATACAATGGTTATCAGTTGATCGACGTGTTTGAGTTCAGTTATTCGAGACGACCGGTTGCATGACTATTGCTCCTGCCGAGATAAAGTCGATTGGTTTAGTGGTTGTGACAAAACATTCTTACAAGGAGCTTAGGTGGCTAGGACCATAAGTGTGGTCCACCGATTGGATCCACCAACATTGCATGTCAGTCAACTTGATCGAGTGGTCGGTCGTCAAATGGGTTTTGATAATGCTTCTTTAGCTCAACGCTTGGATTGTCCGGTAATCACCCTTGGTCGTTTGATTATTTTGAGATTCTTGTTGGCAGTTTTGGTGCATACATATTAATTCATGGAGTTTTTCTGCTCCTTTATAGTAACAACTACAATAAGGACATAAACATTCTTAAACAATCAGTGGTACCAAAATTGAGAAAATTGATTCGATAATTAACTTTTCTTTTGATTTCATGCCCAGTGAGTCTTATAAATATGATCATGTGGTTGAAATTATGTTCTTTGCTGCTAATTCCACCCGAATGATAGAGTGAAATCATGGTAGATGGTACCAACCATAACAATATAGATGTTGAAGTTCTGCATCGGATCCCTGCCTCTATCAGGTAGAAAATGATTGTAAAGAAAGAGAAGCGGACGAGACCCGAACCTGTGTCGGCTGATCAAGTTAACACATCCAAGAGTCCAGAGGAGTAGGAGACGAAAAAGCCCTACCCGAAAACCTGGCTTTTGGGTGTGATTGTTGAAAATGTGGGAAGCAGAAGACGAGAGCAAAACATAAAATAATAAAAAAAAATAATTGCTCCTTGCGTGGATGAGTAGATGAGAAGGAGAGAAGAA